TGGATATGTCAAGGCATTAGCAGACATGCTGTTCTGGATGTTCTTTCCAGCCCTTGATGACCTAAAGAACCAGGACAACAGAAGTTTAACAGAAAACTGAGTTTTGAGCGACTTAAGGTGTGATGAGATACCACCAGTTTCCCTTAAAAGTCCATGTCCTTTTTGTTTTAAAAGGAATACAATGAAATCTCACTCCCAGCATCCCTTGTGACAAGCACGTCACTTCTTGTATCACTGACTCTGAAAGCTTGGATAAAAAGGACACTGGGCCCATTGGGATTTTTCACAAATCACATTAGAGGAGAATACAAGGCTGAATTACATTTTTGGGTATAATTTTGACAAAAAAACAAACAAGGTTTATGGGGGAACATTGGGCAAACAAATAACGTCATGTAAAATACAAGGTTCAATACAAATTGCTGTCACTTTGTTTATTCAGAAACTAAACAAATAAACATTTAACTTTGCTCAAATGACTCACTATGTGGAATTCTGGTTAATATTAGTTGCAAATAGCTAATATGTCCACACTATTATACAAAACTATGTGCACATGAAAGATATTACCGTGTGGCAGCCATTTACATTACGTTATACTTCCTATGTTCTCTACAGCTTGGTATTGTCACATCCCTTCCTGTTGATGGATTTCAGTTGTAACACACAGCTTTATGTGGTATTTCTGGGTATTGGCTAGAACTATCACAGAGATATATTATACAGTAATGACACACATTTGACTTTTATTCCAATATGTTTGCCCAGTATTGCTAATAGGTTAGACAAACAGCTGACACCCCTGAAGAGAGTAGATAGAGGTCCTCAATACATAAATTTACTGTTAAAAACTTCTCCCTGATGGACAGTGTACTGACAACAAGTCACGGCAAACAGAGGAAGTTTTATCAAACCAATAATGTCAGTTTTTTAGCAATCGACAGCCCACCTCCTGAGGTTGGCACAGTGGGGTTGGTTGAATTAGCTACAGGCCACATGTTGTTTTAGTAATAATAAAGTTGGACATTAATAGTGCTACCTCTGGGGGAAACTAAAGTGTCCAAAATAAAAACCTTGACTGTTCTTGATTTAAACTAGCAAACAAGACATCAACTACATGGTGGTAGTTAGTTTACTTTTAGCAATAAGATCTTCTTAAATGGTACTACAGTACTTACAGGTCAATACAAAATATACTGATGCTGTATATTAACTATGCCATAAAAAGAAAAAAGCCTATAAGGACAGGACAGCTGAAGCCACAACATCCAATATCTGAGATAGAGTGGAAACAGTCTTCCTCACCAGCAATTAGAACCACCCACTGGAAAAGCAGCATTTGTAAGCATATCATACAAGACCAGTGAAGACATGGTGCTAACATACAGTTAAAAGTGAGGAACTGTATCTTATGAGTGTGTCTGACCCCTAAAATGAGCTCACTGGATGAAGATTTTCTCAATGTTTGTATGGTAGATTTCTGCTAAGGTTTATCTAAAGTTAGAATGAAAAACTGTTTATGGTGCATTTCTCTTCAAAACCTACAATTTCATGCAAAGGGCCACCTCTCTGAAACTGCTAAAGAACCAAGCATAGATAAATGTACTATTCTTTTGCCACTGTCATATGTTCAGAAATATTCAAATGTCTGTTATGATACTTATCTTACTATGTGTAAGATACACTGTACAAGAAAAGTATAGTATGGAAAATTTGGAGATGCATATAATTTGCATGTTACAGTTAACTTGTTAACTCCTGACTGTTTATATTAGAAGGGGCTCAATATTAACACATGTTGCCCATATAAACATAGAACTGGGTATTCAGAAAGCCACTTAACACTTTTCTGCCTTTAAAAGAGTCATATTGGACATATAGTTAAAGGACAGGATCATTTCAGAGGTGAAGAAAAATCAGCACTATCACTGACCAAAGCCATATAATCCCAAAGAGATGAAATCCACAGACTAAGAATTTAATCCCATCCATGTCCCGCACTCTGGGATTATAAATAAATAAATACATGAATGAGATGAAAATCCCTATTCAAAAACAGAAGACTACACGGAATAACACAAAAGACCTCCGATTAAAGTTTTAAACACATGGTCATTATATGATGTTGACACACATCCTATTGACAAACCCAGAGACACACATTACTGCATTCAGACAGGCTCATCATCACAGATCGTACCATCACGGTACACCAGGGTAACAGTGTCAGTACATTGTGGGTCAGATCCAGATCACATTAGCTGCCAATAACGTTTTAGGCCAAGTTTGATAACTGGATGTTGTTGGGTGAGCGTGGAGTTATAGTTCTCAAACAAATGCGTATGCAATCTTAAAACAAGCCCTTTGCTGCATTCTAAATGCAATGGATTACAAAATTTAGAGCAGTTAGGCGAAAACCAAGAACGCAGCTACTGTGAGTAAAAAGAGGATAAAAGAAAATAGGAAAGTTCAGTATTTGGAGCTTGGGAGAAAAATGTTGGGGAAAAGCACTAGACCTAGAACCTGGGCAAAACCTCTATGTCTGGATCGTATTTTAAATTAAGAGACATTTTTGTTAATCTGCTCAATAACATTTTAATTGTGACTTCAACTAAAGATTAAGAAAAATGGCTTTTCCTTATGCATGGTTAAAGATGCTTCAAATCAGACATTACATTTCATATCAAACTATTATTCAAATGTTTATTTCTTATAAACCATACAAACATTGATCATAGTTGCCATGTTACCAGGTATTCGGGTTCATAGTCAAGATGTACAACACCCCTGCCCCACCATGTTGTCCTGTGTTCAAGGTGCACACATTACATTCACCCGACAAGGAATACCATCAGATCTTAAATGTTTTAATACAAATGCATTGTGTGCGTTTTTACGACAGGGGGAAATCAAAGAAATCCTTTTTGCCAAGCCTGAACCCATCCGATGCTCAGCAGCTGTCTCTCTCAGTCTGAGAAGAAGCGGTGATGAAAAAGACTTTGAACGCCATCTTGTTCATTGCAGCTGCTTGGGCCCTGAATACAGGAACCCATTCATTCGAGGAGGCGGAGGGAGGGGGCACACTGGCAAAATGAATTCATCTTTGTGAGCCACTAAATACAAATAGTTCTTTTGAAAAACTGTGAAATTCTCCGGAAACGACTGGCAATCGGCTATTACCAGAGATTACATTTTTACATGTTAAATCAGTAACTTCGTCAGAGCGGCAGGCTCCACATATCTTGCCTTGGAGCTGGCAGAGGCGCTCGGCTTCCTGCGACAGCTCGTCCGGTTCGTTGCTAAAACATCGTTCGATATGTCTACCACTAAATAAAACACACCTTCAATCTCCTCGATTCTGTTTTAATGCTGACGGGGATTTGGTGCTTCATCGTGGGGTAAAGAGTGTCTGTTCACCGGGCTAGAGGCTTGAAATACTACCGAGCGGCGCGGTGGGGCAAAGCTTGTGTAGCTGCTAGCAACTTGCCCTCCAATAGACCCGTGATCGAGATAAACAGATTGTCAAAATCCAATTAGACGATTTCGTTTTCACATCATTAAAAGGAGAAGTTCAAATTAAGGCCGGACTATGTGTACGCGAACTGACTCTCAGTTTGACACCCGAGAAACTAAAATGGCTATTGTCCCTATCGCTATCACACCGGCGCTTATTGCTATTTCCACCCATGCGATCGTACAGCTGTTAGCACTTCGTATTACATTTCTATTATTTTTACATGCTGTGTATTTCACGGAAACACTGCGCTAAAGTGCTAGCCACTTCCTTCACATCGCAGTCAGTGTATGGCTGGCTGTGCAGACTAAACGTGGGAATGTTAACATACATCGGTAGCTGTGATGAACAGCTTTAATCCATGATGGTTTCATTTTACTGAGCAACACACTGCTGGTTCAACGGATCCGTTTGAACGTGCTCTGTCAAAGAGGTGTACACAGCGGAGAGGTTCCGCATTACATTTAGATTTTTGCAAGGCAAATATTAGCGCAACAATGCACGAGTTTTGCATAAAAGCGGCTCTCAACAACAACAACACCGTTCACATTCACTCGGGTTACAGGCAAATTGTTCTGGCTGCCATGTTCGGGATATACACACCCAGATCAGCCATGAACCAGGCGGCTCACAGCGCAGGCTGTGGCCGCTGCTGGCTAACTTGTGTGGAATGGCTACAGACTAGTGGGGGTGGTGGTGATTCTGTTGGTGAAGTGGCCATTTTTAGATTCCCTTCCTTGACAAATGCATGATGCTACAGATTTTCCAACACGAGTGGAAGTAAATCTCAGTTCACGTTTTTGTTTGAGTTATGCAAATGAGAGAAGTTGAGACTATTTAACCATGTTAATAAACTCGCCCGAGGTTCGTCAACAACACACAGAGAAGCGAATGTAGAAGCAATTAGCTTAACTGGAAATCATTTGCAATCTGCAGATGCGAAAAAATGTGGGCCGATTTACGGATCCAGAATAAATGCTATTAATCTGGATTAATTTGAAGGATTATTAGAAAAACCCATTGAGATGCTACTGGGGTAAATTTGCTGATGAATAAAAGCCAATGCTGTTTAGCCTAGACAGCTTATTTCTTGTGAGAGGGAGAAAGATACCCGGACGTAGGAGAAGGGTGCTGGCTAACCTACCGAGCTGTCACCAACCAAAGGGCTAAGTAACATCAGCTTTGGCCTTTAACTGCCTGGTTGTCGAATGGAACCAGTAGATATGAAATGATTGAAATGTTGTTCTAGTTAAATGACAGCTGGGTAAACGCATTGCGTTTAGTTTCTCCAACACTGGCCCACACCCACTCTCTTGGCAGCAACGACTAGCTAGCAGCAGGCTAACAGCGGCTAACTAACGGAGGAGCCTCTCAACCCAGTTTAACCCCTTTCGCTCATCCTCCTCTTCGCTCGACAGGCTAACCCGCTGCACACACACTTCCCTGTCTACAGCAAAAAAGATCGAGCATCAATGCGCTTCCTTACCCGCTTTCAGTCGAGGGTGTCCGTTGTTTATATCACATTGACTGGAAACAGCGAAATCGTGTCTCTCCTCTCTCCGCCCAGGCGCTCAGCTTTAGCTAGTTCAGCTACCGAGGAGAGGCACTCCCCGAACCCAGTTTTTGACCCGCCGAGGGGGGAGACACACCGGCACAGAGGCGCAGAGACGAGGCGGCGTTTCACCCAGAAAAGGCGGCGTCAGAGTCCGGTTCGAGGGGGGTTCTTCCGTGTCGACGCACACTCCGACTCGAAGCAAAAAAGAAAAATCCCTTCTTGTCTTTCCCACCGTCGTCGTCCCTCGGTTCTCTCCCTTCACGCCAGGATCTCAGTCGCTTCTTCCTCCAGCCATCAAACAGCAGAGATGGGCGCGGTAACCCTGCACTCAGGTCTGGGAAACCCCACGTTACGGCAGCGTCACAACGCACGGCGGAGGGTCGGCGACCACTCTACACATCAGGAAACACTGCCATCTTTGGTCAGAGCTGCACCTGGAGCTGTCTCACCTGGAGCTGTCTCACCTGCAGCAGCACTCAGCCTCAACACATCAACAACCGAACACACACCTCAGCGGCAGGGTTAGAAGAGCAGCACGTCTGCACTGCACCGCTCCTGGAACATGCACAGTTCTGCAGGGTCCTGGTGACACGATGCACTGGGAACAATGTGGAGTATTTGGATACAGTAGTGTACACACTGTACACTCTTGCAAAAATACATGTGCCACTGGTATCTTAAAGGATTTTAATTGAAAGGGATCTATTGATCTACTCTATCGAAATTGAGTATAAAAAAAATCCAATTTGTTGTTTTCTTTACCCTAGAATGACCCTTTATTTAATGATTGTTGAATGACTGCACATGTTTATATTCACCTTAGCACCTTATAATGTTTTATTGTAATGTTTATTGGCACCTTTTAATGTTTATTTTATTTTTTGCACTAGTTAATGACATTGTACTTTCTTGTTTATTTGCACTAGTGTATTGGTATTTTGTATTTTTAGTTATTCTTATTTTATTATCTTTTGACACTATTACATGTTGAGCTGCTTGAGGTGCCTGGGATTTAAGATTTTCATTGCCAACATGTACGCTGTATCTGTTGTGCAGATGACAAATAAAACCTTTGAACCTTTATATTTAAAAAATATATATCTACATCAGGAGGGGGTCCTCTCTATGGAGGCCGCCGTGTTTTTTACAGTAGCCCAAACCGAACAAACTAAACACCTTTAGAATTTTTAAGGTGACCACACTTCACTAAATTCTACACACTGAACCTTTAATAATATGGATATAGATCAGGGGTCACCAACATGGTGTCCACGGACCACATGAGTCGCCCACAGGCCTGTTCTAAAAATAACACAACTCACCAGTGAGCTGCGTCTAAAATTTGATACGCGTTTCTAATTAAATGTAATTATTTATTTTTTATACTGTCAAATTTTTATTCTCATATTGATGTTGACTACTGATTTGTTGTTTGTTAAAAGGGTTTGTCAGTGGCTAGTGAAAATGGAACATTTTTCTTATGAAATGTTGTAGAAGTGATCATCTGAAAATTTAAACAATTAAACGATTAATAGCAATAAAGTGTTGAATATTGATATTATCTGTTTCCCACCTTGTTAAGTCATTGTTGATAATTATGGTGAGAAATCATTAATGTGATTAGTGTCTTCACATAGATGAGTATCATTTATCATTAATAAATATGTATAACTAAAGGCAAACTGAGCAAATTTGTTATTTCAGAAGAGTGTATCAAACTGGTTGCCCTTCGTATGACTCAGTACCCATGAAGTAGCTCTCAAAATTTTTTGGACCCTGCAGCAAATGGCCTGAGTGACTTTGTGTGTCTGTCATATAAACATATTTGAAAGCACAACATCCACCACACGCAAATAACAGTCTCATTTGAAATTCAAACTAGACCGAGCTACAAATGTAACTGCTGAAGTTCAGGTACTTCCCCGACACCACGCATGGCTAAATCCATGTCTAAATCCAACTGACACGCACTCAAAAGAACAATGTGTTTTTTAGAGACTAAATGTGATCTTGTTGTTTTAATTTGAAGAAAAAACATTAAAAAATTGCAAGAATGTATTGTAATGGATATTCCAAAATGAAAAAAAACATCAGAGCGGGTGGGACAAAATATTGATAGTTATTATCAACTCATGGGATTTTTTCTAAACAGTATGAGTATAGTATGTGAGGCTACTTTCCCATCAAGATAAGTCAGACTTTAAAAGACCCCACAGCCTAACGTGACTTTGTGACCCTTGTGCCGGTCTCAACATGTTTGAGAACTCAACACAACCATCACTACAAGCAAATAACTGTCTGTCTGATTTGCAATCCAAACTGAGCCACACCTTTAACTACAGAAGTGCACGCACTGCCACCATGCACAAATCCAGTCCAAATCCAATCCATGTTTTTGAATGCCTGAACTTGTTGTTTTACTATAAAGAATGAAAAATAAAGAATTGCAAGAATTTATTCGGATAGAAATTTCTATCGAAAGATGTGTGTTTTAATATCACAGTAACAATAATGTATTCTCATTATAACATAATAATATTAAATCTTTTAATTACTGTTATTGTGATCGGCCATCACTTTAACTATATAGCTCTAAAAGCTTAAGGAGATGGACGACTGTTCCCTGATGCAGAGAAATATTTAACTGTCTCTCTGTCCCAAAGTGGATCCAATTCAAAGTCCTTCTCATCACTCAAAAGTCCACCTGCATAACCAGGTGAGCTCCAACACCTCTCTCCCTCCCGTAGCCTCCGCTCCGCAGATCCTGACCTCCTGCCACCTCCTCTCAGGACCAAGCACCGGACCTGGGACAACAGATGTTTCTCCACAGCTGGCCCCTGTCCCTCGAACTCTCTCCCCAAACACATCGCAGACCACACTGACCTGCCCACCTTGCAAACCTGACTTAAACCCACCTGTTCAGAACTGTTTCTGATTAGATATGTTGATATTTTCCAGTTATCTGCTTTCTCTTTTTATCCTGTGTAAAGTGTCTTTGAGCATTTCGAAAAGCTCTCTATAAATAATAGATATTATTATTATCGTCTATTATTATTCAG